TGACGCCGCCCGGCCATTGTGACCGCCGCCCGGAGAGGCACGCGCGGCCGGCGGCAGGCGAGGCAGCGTCAGAGAGCCGGGAAGAGCTCCGGGAGGGGAAGAGAGCCCGGCTCCTGCCAAGGAGGGAGGAGTGGGAGGGGCCCGGGATCCACCAGGCACCCACCTCGCCCCTCCCACCACACACCCACCCTCCTGCGCAGAGAGGTTGCGGATGGGTTGGGGCAAAGGGGCATCGAGACCATCCTGACAATCAGAACTGCGTCAGGGAGGAAATCGTCAGGAACCATCCAGAGCATGTGAGAAGCTAGGGTGCCGGGCACCGGTAGCGCGAGGTATCACAAAGGTTTAGCATTCAGCATGCACCTTCGTGTGGGGGAAGCGCAGTGTAAGAGGCTGTACGTCCTTGGGAAAGGCATCCCCTATGCTAGGTAAACATGACCAGTCCTCTTGAGCTGGGACAATAATGGCTAGAAATACATTTTTCCAGGGGCTCTGATGGGCTTCAACAAACTTTTAAAGATAATGGTCTATGTATTACCTGCTGAAATACCCCTGAAGCTTCAGAATATCTATACCTATAAATTTTACATACTCTAAATACCAATATATTGTACTGTTAAAAAACAAAAACAGAGTAATCCTTAAGAGGCCACCTACCGTTGACAGCCACAGCCAATTTTTGAACCACTACGCCCTTCACAGCAACACTACACACAGGTACTAGGGTGTGAAAGTGATCACTTTATTAAATCACCAGGAATTCTGTTGATCGTCACAAGGTTAGTTGCTAGGAACTTCTAGGGGTTGGGTGTTGAAAACACTCGGAGAGCAGGACTGAGCGTCGTGGAGCCACCACGGTTCGGTGTGGGCTACAGGTTGGACCTGAAGCCCGCCTTAACCGAGAACCTCATCGCGGGTTTCTCCCGCGGCCGGAGGAGGCAGATGGAGCTGGGGAAGCCCCTGAGCCGCAGGCGGCTCACGCCCCCATCCGGGGTGATGGTGAACCTCACATGGGTGATGACATCCTGCAGCTCCGGCATGAGGCTGTCCAACAGGTGGGTCTCGTCCGGGTTCAGCTGGAAGAGAGGCAGCCGGAGAGGCCCCTGTAATAGCCAGAAGGGCTGACTTGCCCAGCACAACCCATCGACTTGGACTTAGGGGCCTTAAACAG